GTATGATGTGTTTTTTGGGGTCATCCAGGAGGTTTCTGATCATTTGTTTTTTGTTGGTATTGAAGTATGTTTGTCTTTTGAGGAGTCTTTCATTAATTGTATCCATTTGTTGATTTTTGCAATTCTTGTTGAAGATTTGTTTATGGGTGGTTCTCATTGTTTTGAGATCTTGGATCCATTGGAGAATATTTGTTGGGTTGAGGGATCATGTGATCAAATTAATTGTAATGTTATATCAGGTATAGAGCTTCTTGAGAATGGTGTCTATTTTTGTTTCGATGGTGTATGTGAAAGGGTCATTTTCTATTAGTTGTTTGCCTAGGGAGCAAAGTTTGAAGAGTTTTTATAGTATATATGTTGAGGGTTTGGAAGGTTTTGGAGCACGTTTTGATTCTTTATATTTTTTTTATGTGAAGTGCCGCACTTTGGAGGGTTGTATCTCTTAGTAGATTCCATTTTCTTTCTATAGTGTCTTCTGTTGAAGTTGGGGCTGGCCAGGATAATTGTAATTTTGAATATATATGTTCATCGAAATCTTTCCATTTATCTGGTGTCGTATCTTCCCACCTGAATCTGTTGTTAGGCTGTACTCTAATTCTGTTGACATGAGAGAGGTCTAGGTTCCAATGTTGAAGATTGCAAGAAGTTGCATCATGTTTGTTTCCAAGAGTTCTTTGTCAAGTGTTTGGATATTAGCATTGGTTAGGAGCCACAGTGGTGATGTTGAGATCCAAATTTGGTTTATTCTGCTAGTAGTTCCTTTAGAATTGCTCCAAGTGTGTTGAGTACTGTAGGGGTGTAGGTCTCTGAAAGTGTCTATAAACTGGTTGTTCATAAGCCATTGAACTAGTTTCTCTGTTGAAGAGTATTGGTTTCTTTTGGGGGTATTAGAATTTGGCATATCTATACTGGGGTTGGGAACAGAGTTGAAGTCTCCTAAGATTATAATGTAACTGTTCATGATTTTTGCCTCATTGATAAGTCTGAGAATTTCTTGGGTACACTCTTGGTTGTCTTCATGTGATTGGAAAGGCAGTTAGATGGCGATTATTCTGAGTTTGCATTTGAACCTGAAAAGAAGGTACACTGTGAAGATTCTATCCTTCCATGTTTGTTTTTTGAAGATGTGTTTTGTGAGATTTTTTCTATAAGCAGTGTTACACCAAATCCTTTGGTTTGGTTGCTTTGATCACTTCATATGATATGGTAGTTGTTGAGTTGAATGAAGGTTCCTTCTTTGCTACTGATATTTGTTTCTGTGAAAGTAAGGATAGTTGGCCTGTGTTTGTTGACCCACTCTGTCCATAATTGTAGTTTTCCTGGATTTGATTTGAGGCCCCTGACATTTGTGATAATGATTTTCCAGTTGTACTCTAAGCTTGGAGGATTTGGATTATGATTGGATTGTTGTTTTTGTTGAATGTGTGTTGTGTTTGTTAATTTGATGGGTTCTAAGGTTAGTGTTTTGTCACTTTTGTCAATTGTGCTGTTTGTGGTTGAATGTGTAGGTGTTCCTGAGATTTGGTTTAAAGAAAGTTCATTGGGGGTTGTGATTGTGTTATACGATTCATTTTCTGATTCTTTTTGATTGCTATTACTTTGTGTTATATCCATTTTTAATCTTGTGATGGGGAGTGTGTTGCGGTAGGAGTTTTGGTGACTGCATCGAAGGCTGCGACGATTTGGTTCATGCTATTTTGCATGCCATCCAATAATAAGAAGAGTTGTGTTTGATGGTCTCTGATGTCTTCAACACTATCATCTGATGATTGGAGGGTTGATTGTGATTGAGGTTGGAGCGAGGTGTTGCTTATTGAGTTGCTAGGTTTGTCGCTATCCATTGTTTCGTAGTATTTTTCATTGTAGAGTTTCAGGTTGGTGATGCGTTCATCGATTTCTGTGAGTTGCATTCTTATTGTTTGGATTTCCTGGCAAATTTCTCTGAGTAGTCCAGAGATTTCTGTAAGTAATTATGGATCTCTCTGTAGACTTGAGAAGTTGTTGCGGACTGCATTGGCATATGAGCCAGCTCTGGTATTTCTCTGGTGTTTGGGTTTGCTGTAGTTGCAGATTGTTGTTGTTTTTGCCAGTCGAAATTTATTGTAAAGGGTTCCAAATTTGGAGGCTTGTTCCCTGTTATAATCATTCCATTGTTGTCATTTAGCTTTGATTGGGCAGTCAATGGCTAGATGCGAGGTTGAGTTACAGATTGCACATAATTTGACAGAAATTGGAGCAAAGGAGAGTTCTGTTTCCCCCATGGTGTATTTGTGTTTTACTGCTTCCAAGAGATCTTCTTGTGTGTCAAAGCTGATGACTGCAAATCTCTTGGACCTATATGCTATTGCTGCAGACCTTGGAATGTAGCATGTGCATTCTTTGCATTGTATGAGGATATGTTTGAGATCCCATGCTGAGGTGTTTGGAGGAAGGTTGGTAAGTTTAGTAGCTATTTCATGTCTTTATTTCATTTGTGCGAGTGACCACTCTGCACTGTTAATTCTGATTGAGTCTCCTTTGATGAGTATGCTTCTGAGATCCACTAGTTTATCTCTAGTGGCCTTGTCTCCGAAGGTGATAGTGGCACATTGCCAGAGATTTTGGGTTTTCATGGTGATACCCTGGACTTCTCCATATTTGATAAAGGCTTGTTTGACTTCAATGAATTTTGTGTTCAGGGGGATATCCCATACTACAATTGAATTTTACTTATTGATCATTTGGCATCCAATTTCCATATGTGATAGTCTTGTGTTGTCCATATCAGGTAAATTGATAGTGGTGGCATGTTGGGTAGCTTGAATATCACCGAAAATGGCAATGATTTTCATCTCTTCATTTTTTCCCTCACTACGTACTGTCAAGAGACCTTCTGGGAAGTTGAGAGCCATGATGATATGTTCAATTTTTTTATGGGTTGTTTTGCCTTTGACTAGATTGGCTGGTACTCCTACTTTGTGTCTTTCTCTGCCCTATCTGATTGACCTATCAAAGGGAGAGTTGGGTTTTAGTTTTCCATTGTATGGAGAGGTTGCTTTGTTTTTTCCCTTCCTTACTGTGAACCATGTGTTTTCTGAGTCTTCCTGATCTTCTGTGCCCATTTCCTCATCTGTATCATCAATCCTTGTCATTTTACTTCTCGTAGTGTTGGATCCTTCAGCTTGGGTTGGTTGGTTGTGGGTTTCTTGTCCGTCTTCTTGCTCCACTAAATTGCTTCATGAAGAGGAAGTGGTTGCTTGACTGTTTGGTTCTTCTGGTTTGCTGATTGGGTTGAGGGCTTCTTGCTGTGTTGTTGGTTGGGATTGTTCGGTTTGTTGTTTATTGGTTGCTTGCTGAGCAGCTTGAAACTTGTTGGTCTCTAGGTTGGGCTTCTTTGTATATGGTTGAGTTCTCCATATGGCATTGTCTTTGCTTATTCTTTTCTTATACCTTATTGTGTGTTCTGTCCTTGTTGGGATGTTGATTGTGGTCTTGGGGTTTCTATTGCGAAAAGACATCTTTCCTTGGTGTTTTTTCAAAAATTTCCAAAAAAGGAAATTTTTAAGATTTGTGATAGTTACGGGAAAGAGTTTTTTTTTTTGATTTTCTCTAAACCTATTTTTTATCATTTACTTTAAATAATTCAAATTTTGATTCATTACTCCAAATAATATTATTCTATTCATTTTTCCAATTTTTTCTTTCTTTAATCAATAATAATTTTTTTTTCTATTGGTTTTACTCACAAGAGCCTTTCTAATTCCAACTCTTTCATAAAAACCTTGTTTATGAAGAAATTTCTATATAGTATTTATACAAATAATTTTTTTTTTTTTTTTAATCCGCAATCATGCCGCAATGGCATGTCTTTATTAAGATATTGAGAAATACCTAAATAATTTACAGACTTTCACATAGC